TCCATTCCACAAAGGCGGCGAAATTCGCTCGAGGACCATCTTCGGACGACAGCGCTCTGCGTAAGATGTTTAAACTGGCGTCATAGAATGCGCAGAGCGCGTCGTCCGGGAAGCTGTTTAGAGCAGTGAGGACTAGGAACAGTCTGTTATGGCCCTCGAGCGATTTCTCCCCCTGCTCCAGCAGGAGGAGGAGGTGGTATTCCGGACGGGAGAGAGAATCCATGAAAACACACAACGGAAAAAAAGACACTAGGAAAAATTAGAAAACAAACGGAAAACACGGAGGTGACTGTGTAGGTCTGGTCTTCTGTCAGTACGCTGTTGGGAGGAAGCACACAGGATGCACGAGGAAACGTAAACTGTCTTTAATCCAAGGAATACAGGGAAATCCACACAAAGGGCACTGGAGCAAACACACGGACACGACGAGTAGACCTTTAAACACAGGGCAATCAGGAGAACACCGGTGCATGAAATTAGTCAATTAACTGGGACACGGAACACCAAAGCAGGGAAAACCAGTCCAGGGGCGTGACATATATATATATATATCTATTATCATAACAGTCTGAGTAATTCTGATTCTTGAACAGTAAGCTTTGAAATGTCAGCTTTGTGAAACATATGCTGATTAAGTATCTAGTCTGAAAGATTCATGAGCAGCAACCTTTTTATTTTGGGTACATCATTTGTGTCTCCATGCCGAAAATGGGGGGCGCCAGCAAAGGGGTTAAAAAACACATGACAGTTCACACTGGAGAGAAGTGATTCACCTGCCAACAGTGTGGAAATAGCTTCAATGATAAAGGACACTTTGAAGGCCACATGAGAAGGCACACTGGAGTAAAGCCTCCAAATTGTGTGGAAAGAGCTTCACTGAGAAAAGAAACGTAAAACTCCACATGAGAGTTCACACTGGAGAGAAGACTTTCACTTGCAAACAGTGTGGAAGGAGCTTCACAATAGCAATAAACCTCAGGTATCACATGAGAGTTCATACCGGAGAGAAGTCGTTCATATGTGATCAGTGTGAAAAGAGTTTCAAACAAAAAAAATCCCTTAACTGTCACTTGCGTTCACCCAAGAAGTGTGGAAAAAATGTCAGCCCAAACCTGGGGTCAGCAACCTTTATGTCATGAAGTGCTTTTTTCTTTTTTTCCCCCTTTTTTTACAATTGGATAGCTATGGGATCAGAGAAAACGCATGAATTGACCAGGTACACATGAACTGAGTCTCCACATGCATCACAGTAATTTTGATGTCTGTGGAATGTGAACAGGGATGTGAACTCTTGTCTGCATTGATAGCCTACAGGTGGAGAGGAAAGAGAGTGATAGAGCCAATTCAATGGATGGGGATTATTAGGAGGCCATGATTGACAAGGGCCAGTGGAGGGAATTTGGCCAGGACACCCCTACTCTTTACGAGAAGTGCTATGGGATTTTATGTGACCACAGAGAGTCAGGACCTCGGTTTAACGTCTCATCCGAAGGACGGTGCTTTTTTTTTTTTTTGACAGTATAGTGTCCCCGTCACTACACTGGGGTGTTAGGACCCACACCGACCACGGGGTGAGCACCCCCTGCTGGCCTCACTAACACCTCTTCCAGCAGCAACCTAGTTTTCCCAGGTGGTCTCACATCCAGATACTTACTAGGGATGCGCCGATCCGATATTCATATCTGGTATTGGCTCCGATACTGCTATTTTTTGTCGGATTGGGTAACGGTCAGAGAGGTCTGATCCAAATCCGAGATTGTGCGTATTATTTTGTTACTTCTGAAGCCATATTATAGCTTAAAGGGTTACTCCACCCCAAAATGAAAATTTTTGTTATTAATCACTTACCCCCATGTTGTTCCAAACCCGTAAAAGCATTGTTTGTCTTTGGAACACAATTTAAGATATTTTGGATGAAAACCGGGAGGCTTGTGACTGAGGCTTGTGACTGAAGGCCCAGAAAAGTATGAAAGACATCGTCAGAATAGTCCATCTGCCATCAATGGTTCAACCGTAACGTTGTGAAGTGACGAGAATAATTTTTGTATGAGAAGAAAACAAAAATAACGACTTTATTCAACAATTCATCTCCTCTGTGTCTCTCCACATCACCGTAGCACCATTCCGCTGAATGCAAGCAGCATACGCTCTTCTGTGTCAGCCACGCTGCACGGATGCGGTAAATACACACCGTAAACCGTATCCCTTTCATGTGAGCTGTGGCTGTCAATCATTCGTTCAGCCTTCAAACCCTGGTCGCATTCGGTTACGACAGTCAGCTCAGTAAAGCTCTCTCCAAGATCATTCTGTGTTCCCATTATTATACTTGATTTGTAAATAAATGTCTATGATTTTGCAAAAAGGACTTCATCTTCTTGCCGGAGTTTAATGTTGTTTTGTTACTTGCTACCGGGTGTCTGTGAGAACAAAACATGGGCGTCGAAAATACTATAAATTGTTTTAATGCGCACAGTAACTGAAATTTAAAACTGTTAAAAGAAAGGCTCAATAACTGTTGCACAGATATACTGTAATACACTACGCATCAATTTCTCTTCCCTTTGTGCTTTGCACTTTTTAATGCAAAGTGCTGCGTGCTGTGACTCCGTGTTGCTTCAAGCGCATCATTCTGCACACCGGATGTGCATATTATTATTAACATAACACTAATATAAAAAATAAAATAATAGATAATGTCCTATATACAGAAATAGAAGTATAGGAAAAAATTTTATTGTTTAGATCAGGGGTGGCGAACTCCGGTCCTGGAGAGCCGCAGCCCTGCAGAGCTCAGCTCCAACACTAATTAAAACTCACCTGCCTGTAGCTTCCTAGTAACCCTTCAGACCTTGATTAGCTTGTTCAGGTGTGTTTGATTAGTGTTGAAGCAAAACTCTGCAGGGCTGCGGCTTTCCAGGACCAACGTTCGCCACCCCTGGTTTTGATAAATGTACAGATATGTTTATTAGTGTGCAGATATGTTATTTACAATGTGTGCGGTTTAATATAAATATGTCAGATAACTATGTTAGTTGTGATGGACGATGTATAATTATGAAAGATTAATTGTTCAGGCTGAATATAGCCTGTGGGAAAAAACTGTTCTTGTGCCTGGCTGTTCTGGTGGTCAGTGCTCTGTAGCGCCGACCAGAAGGCAACAGTTCGAAGAGAGAGTGGGCTGGGTGTGAGGGGTCCAAGGTGATTTTTTTAGCCCTTTTCCTCACTCTGGAGATGTAAAGATCTTGAAGGCTGGGCAGAGGGGCACCAATAATCCTCTCAGCAGTCCTGACTGTCCGTTGTAGTCTATTGATATCTGATTTGGTAGCTGAACCAAGCCAGACAGTAATGGATGAACACAGTTCTACTATCATTGAGTCTGTCCTGTTTCAGAAGCTCCTGTGGCAGGTTGAATTTCCTCAGCTGGCAAAGGAAGTACAACCTCTGCTGGGCCATTTTTGCAATGGAGTCTATGTGAGTGTCCCACTTCAGGTCCTGAGAGATAGTGGTGCCCAGGAATCTGAATGACTCCACTGCAGTCACAGTGCTGTCCATGATGGTGAGTGGGGGGAGTGCAGAGGGGTTTCTCCTGAAGTCCACGGTCATCTCCACAGTTTTGAGCATGTTCAGCTCCAGGTTGTTAAGACTGCACCAGACAGCCAGCTCTTTAACCTCCTGTCTGTAAGCAGACTCGTCTCCGTCCTTGATGAGGCTGATGACTATAGTGTTGTCTGCGAACTTCAGAAGCTTGACAGAGGGGTCCTTTGAAGTGCACTCGTTCGTGTAGAGAGGAAAGAGCAGTGGGGAGAGTACACATCCCTGGGGGGCACCAGTGCTGATGGTGATTGTCCTGGATGTGAGTTTGCCCAGCCTCACTAGCTGCTGCCTGTCTGTCAGGAAGCTGGTGATCCACTGACAGATGGAGGTGGGCACGGAGAGCTGTGTGAGTTTGTCTGAGAGTGGCATGATGGTATTGAAGGCCAAACTGAAGTCCACAAATAGGATCCTTGCGTAATTCCCAGGTCTGTCGAGGTGTTTCAGGATGTAATGCAGTCCCATGTTGACTGCATCATCCACAGACCTGTTTGCTCTGTAGGCAAACTGAAGAGGATTCAGCAAGGGTCCAGTGATGTCCTTCAGGTAGGCCTCCATGGACTTCATGACCACAGACGTGAGAGCGACAGGTCTGTAGTCGCTAAGTCCAGTGATTTTGGGCTTTTTGGGGACCAGAATGATGGTGGAACGTTTTAAGCAGCAAAATAAATGTATTTAAATTGTTTAGTATATACTTGTATATAAATACATTCATGAATTCGAGAAGTTTTCATTAATGGATTTTTTAATACAAATAGCAATGTGTACCATTTTTCCATATTTAGTGCAACACTTTTATTTGTTCCCCACAAAATAGTTTTTTTTCACTAAATGTTTGGATTTCTAAAATTATTGTGCACTGATTTTTCTAGAATAACTTTTGCTGCCGAATTATCCACTAACCTAGTTTATGATATATTTTTGTCATAGATTATGAATATACATAGTATATTTTTTCATATTTATTGTTTATATTTCTTTATAATTAAATAGTCTGTATTTAGTAGATTGTGAAAGAATGATAATCAGTTCCACACACAGAGACATAAATTCTACATTTATTTAAATGAAAAGAAAAAAAAACTTCACTGGTATCGGATCGGTATCGCCAAATACTGAACCCTAGGTATCGGAATCGGTATCGGGGGCGAAAAGGCGGATCGGAGCATCCCTAGTACTGACCAGGCTCAACCCTGCTTAGCTTTAGTGGGCAACCAGTCTTGGGCTGCAGGGTGATATGGCTGTGGCATTACAGCATTCAGTGTTACTGAATGTGGCTTTTAAATTGATGTGCCCAACACTCTTACTTTTGTGCCAACACTCTTTTAATATAGTGATATAATGATTTACAAAGAGACAAGACTTCTTGATTTCTTGTTGATTATGGCAAATCTGCTTATTCCACACAGAGATTCAGCTGGAATATCCCCATCAGTTTATCAGTACAGACGAGCATCAAATCATCAGGAAGAAATCTGTAAAGACTGAGTTTATTAAAGAGGACAGAGAGAAGATGAGAGATCCAGAGCCCTGCAGAATCAAACACACTGAAGATACTGAAGAACTAACAGGTTGGTGTTTATTCTTCTTCATTAATAATGCTGATGGTTATAAAGTTTAAGTAATTTTAGATTTTGTTTGATGTAATTGGAAAAATCTATAGAGATCTTCAATAATATCTATCAATAATCTTCAATAATAACTAAATCAAATAATAAGGGACACTTTCTATGAAATGAGTACTTTATGCAACATTATTTGTTAGATAACTGTGTTGTTGATCAAACATATTTAAAAGTTATTTCTACAGAAACATGGGTTTTGTGCCTATTATGTTTTAAAAAATCACAATTTGAAAATCAAGGTACCTCATTCATGGAAAATGTCAGGGACGTATATATAAAATGTACTAGATGTATTTATACTGAACAAAATGATAAATGCAACACTTGTTTTTGCCCCATGAGTTGAACTCAAAGATCTAAGACTTTTTCTATGTACTATGACTTTTGGAGATCTAAATCTGTGTTAGTGGGCACTTCTCCTTTGCCGAGATAATCCATCCACCTCACAGGTGTGGCATATCAAGATGCTGATTAGACAGCATGATTATTGCACAGGTGTGCCTTAGGCTGGCCACAATAAAAGGCCACTCTAAAATGTGCAGTTTTACTGTATTGGGGGGTCCGGGGGTTCCGAAAACCAGTCAGTATCTGGTGTGACCACCATTTGCCTTACGCAGTGCAACACATCTCCTTCGCATAGAGTTTATCAGGTTGTTGACTGTGGCCTGGGGAATGTTGGTCCACTCCCCTTCAATGGCTGTGCGAAGTTGCTGGATATTTTCGTTCAAGATTAAACTTCACATATTACACAGTTTTAATATCCTTATTTCCTAAAAAGGGGTAATTAAACACTGGTTAAAGTTGCACCGATTACATGAAACACGTCAAGCATATATATATACACATACAACCTACTATTTGTACTTCTATGCTCTGATCATTTTATACTTTCAATTATTAGCAACGATTGTCAAACGACATCTTGTCTCTTTCCTTGGAATGCGGGGGAAAAGTGTCGAGTTCTCCGGTCACTATCAGGTCAGCTCTGGACATTTCCTGGAAAGTCTCCTGCTGGACAGGGAGCCATAAAATTGTCTCTTTTGTTGATCGTAGTTTAGCAATTTATGCGTCCACTGGTCATGAGGGTATTTCTATCTGCTCTTTGCAAGCCCGTAAAACCATTTTAAGCACCGTTAAAGTACTGTCCTTTTTAGCTTATCTTGAGATATAGCCAAACAGTCCAGGGAATGCTTCACCTTATTCGATGGAGCATGAGTTTTACGACTACAGATGGCTGGAGAAACGAACCTCAAAAACCTTCCATGGAATGTGCTGGTTTGATGTGTGTGTCTCCATCATGTAGGTGGGTCTGTTGTGAGACAGATCCTACAGCAATAATCATGTTGTCTAATCAGCATCTTGATATGCCACACCTGTGAGGTGGATGGATTATCTCGGCAAAGAAGAAGTGCTCACTAACACAGATTTAGACAGATTTGTGAACAATATTTGAGAGAAATAGGCCTTTTGTGTACATAGAAAATAGAAAATCTTAGATCTTTGAGTTCAGCTCATGAAAAATGGGGGCAAAAACAAAAGTGTTGCGTTTATAATTTTGTTCAGTGTATAAAACTGCATCAAAATGATCAAAATTTGTATAGCAATTGTCTACTTTCCGCTGATACATCAGGGTTCAATGTAATGTCTTTTCCCTTTTTTATGAGTTACTGACAAAGGAACTGTTTTTGCTTTTATTTCAGAGTTGACTGAAGAAAATGAGGAGAATGAAGAATTGAGTGAAGTTGAGGAGAAAAATCACTTAAAAACTGTAGAAAACCCTTTGAGTTGCTGTCAAAGCAAACAGATAATTTTAAAGAAAACAAGAGCCAAGAAATCTTTCACCTGTACTCAGTGTGGAAAGAATTTGACATGCAAATATAATCTTGAGCTTCACATGAGAATTCATACTGGAGAGAAACCGTACAAGTGTTCACACTGTGACAAGAGATTCAGTCAGTCAACAAATCTGAAAATACATGAGATGTATCACACTGGAGAAAAACCATACAAGTGTTCACACTGTGACAAGAGATTCAGTCGGTTAGGAGACCTGAAAATACATGAGAGGATCCACACTGAAGATAAACCGTACACATGTGATCAGTGCGGGAAGAGTTTCACACGAAAAGGACATTTTACGGGGCATATGAGAGTTCATACTGGAGAGAAGCCGTTCTCTTGTGATCAGTGCCGAAAGAGTTTCACACACTCAGCAAGTCTTAAGAAACACATGAACATCCACACTAGAGAGAAACTGTACACATGTGATCAATGCAGCAAAATATTTTTGAGAGCTTCAGTCCTGAAGCAGCACCTGAGAGTTCATACAAAGGAGAAACCACATTCATGTCATTTGTGTGGAAAGAGTTTTTCATGTTTGCATTATTTAAAAATACATCAGAAAATACATACTGCTGTGAGAGAGTACGTGTGCTTTGAGTGTGAGAATACTTTTACTTCAGCGAGCTGTTTAAAACAGCATGAGAGAATCCACACTGGAGAGAAACCTTACAAGTGTTCACACTGTGGCAAGAGATTTATTCTGTCAGCAACTCTGAAAATACATGAGAGGATCCACACTGGAGAGAAACCGTACACATGTGATCAGTGCGAGAAGAGTTTCAGAATAAAAGGAAGTCTTGTGGAGCACATGAGAGTTCATACTGGAGAGAAACCGTTCACTTGTGATCAGTGTGGAAAGAGTTTTGCACGATCAGCAACCCTTAAGTTACACAAGAACATCCACACTAGAGAGAAAACGTACACACATGATCAATGTGGGAAAACATTTTTGAGAGCTTCAGTCCTGAAGCAGCACCTGAAAGTTCATACAAAGGAGAAACCACATTCATGTTATTTGTGTGGAAAGAGTTTTTCACGTCTACAATATTTAAAAGAACATCAGAAAACACATACTGGTGTGAGAGAGTACATGTGCTTTGAGTGTGAGAAGACTTTTACTACAGCAAGCTGTTTAAAACAACACCAGAGGATTCATACTGGAGAGAAACCTTACAAGTGTTCACACTGTGACAAGAGATTCAGTAATTCAGAAATCCTGAAAAGACACGAGAGGATTCACACTGGAGAGAAACCTTATAAGTGTTCACACTGCAACAAGAGATTCAGTCGGTCAGGAGACCTGAAAACACACGAGAGGATCCACACTGGAGAGAAACCTTACAAGTGTTCACACTGTGAGAAGAGATTCAGTCAGTCAACACATCTGAAAACACACGAGAGGATCCACACTGGAGAGAAACCGTATCACTGCACTGCATGTGGGAAGCGTTTCAATCAATCTTCTGCTCTACACAGTCATACAAAACACTATCACAGTAAGTAGATCATCTTCAGATCCAGCACTTTCAGATCTGATGCTGCGTCCTCCCCAAATGTGACACAATAATGCATCAAGCAGTGAAATATCATCTGGATAAATCTGTTCTAACCAGACATTACAAGTGACATGACAAAGAAACATTATCTAAAGTTTTCACAGTGAATAAGGTTCATCTTCATCTTCAAAACCAGCAGATTCAACTTTGAGATTCAGATCAACTCTGGAGTTACTCCAGAAAGAAAATTGTCAAGAAAATTACTGTAAAATTGTAAAAAAAAAAAAAAAAAAAGAAAGAAAAAGTCAAACTGTAAAATTGTGCTTTCTTATGAGTTTCATGTTGTTCAATTGTCTAATAATGCATGTGTGTCACTTGTAGTGTGCTTACTCTCTCATGAAGGAAAGCAGAAGTTTTTACATACCGTTCTTGTTCAGGGAGCTGAAGAAGAGACTGTAACACTTTTAAGAAAGATTTAAGTTTATTATAATTATTGTTCTTCACTGTTGTTTTTAAAATGACTAGTTATTCTTCCACTTCTGATGTATTTAGAAAATGCAGATGCAAGATACACTGTCAAGTAGCTTTGCAACTGATCCTTCTTTGCTTCTCTTTGTACCTGCTACTAAACCGGCTAAATTATGAAAGACCGTAGTATTGATAAGCTCTGACGTTATCAGTTCTGCTTTCAGGACTGGAGAAATTAAAGAATAAAAAAACATACAAATTATTATTGCTACACAAAAGTTATCAAGCTAATTGTATCTTGTGAACCGTTTATATATGCGATAAAATTAAGACATTTGTCAGTGATGTGTTTTCGTTTTTCGCAATCCAGAAGTGAGATCTCTCTTGTACTTTAGGGCTGTGTGATTAATCTCATTTTATTTCTGATTTTGAGTTTGGTTCCAAGGATTATGAAACAAGATGTTTGAGGTAAAGTGGTATATTAGAGAAAATCTGATGTGTCTTGAGGACTTTATTACTGTGTCTTGGATGGGTGAGGTTTCTAAGTCACAACTTATTGCTACTGGGGTTCCTCAAGGCTCAGTGCTTGGACCACTTCTCTTCTCCATCTACATGTCGTCTCTAGGATCTGTCATTCAGAAGCATGGCTTTTCTTATCACTGCTATGCTGATGACACTCAAATCTACTTCTCATTCCAACCAGATGATCCAACGGTAGTTGCTCGCATTGCAGCCTGTCTGAGAGATATTTCTAGCTGGATGAAGGACCATCACCTTCAACTCAACCTTACTAAGATAGAACTGCGTGTGGTCTCAGCAAACCCATCGTTTCATCACAGCTGCTCTATACAGTTTAGTTAATCAACCATAACTCCTTCCAGGACAGCCAGAAACCTTGGAGTTGTGATGGATGATCAGTTAGCTTCACAGACCACATTGCTACAATGGCCCGGTCCTGCAGATTTGCCTT